AAAAAAAAAAAAAAAAGCTCCTATTGAGATTGTTTTCTCTCTTTCTGCCCTTAACTTGTGGAAGACAGAAATAAAACATATATATATATTTTTAATATAAGTTATTCTTTTTATTGGAGAGGTTTTTTGGTTTTGTTTTGTTTTGTTTTGTTTTTGTGTTTGTTTGTTTGTTTTAGTATAGGGTGTGTGCACTAACCAGAGACAGAAAGAAAGAAATCCCTCCCCGGGGGATGGCCATACCACAATCAGCCTAGTGACATCCAGGCACTGGGGCAATAAATGCTAATTGAACTAACCTGATTTGGAATGCAAAAGGAAGGAATACATTTCAGGGTTGTCCTTAAGAAGGGGTGAGACTCAATGAGTGATTGAGCAGAGGGAATGAGGGAGCAAGCATAGGCCTAAGGCAGGGAGTTTAAGCCTGGGAATGCACACTGAAAGCGTCACAGATAGAAAGAGGGATGCCAGACACCAAGGACGCTGGTTTTAAGTAAGCTGTTACTAAAAAAAAATGACATTTATTAGGTCTTAGCTTTATACGAGAAATCAGTGGTCTCTGTAGAAATTTTACAGCATAGAGGAAATTATAAAGGACAACATTTAAATTTCTTATAATATCACTCTCCAGAAATAATCACTGTTAGTATTTATATGTATTTTCCTCTGCCTCATATACTTTGTTTCTTTTTTTTTACAAAATATGGATAAGCCTGGAAATTCCTTTTCATAATCTGACTTAATAACCTGACACTTGCTATAGTATGGATGTTTTGAGTAAGTATACTTCTAAAACCATTATTTTTATTGGCAACATAGCACTCTAGTGTAGGAATTTGCCATGTTTTCTTAACCAATTTTCCACTGCTAGACATTTAGAGTGTTTCCAAGTTTTGAACATTATAAACAACAACTCTTGTTCTTTCAAGTTTGCACATACCAGGGGACTTCACAAAGTTCATGGAAAATAGAATTAAACTACGAGTTTACTTTGGTGCAAAAATTTTTGAAATCCATGCATAGTTGTTTCATAATATTCATTTGCTATGAATCCTTGGAAGACCTCCTATATCTCTGATTATTTCTTTAAGTTAAATTCCTAAAATAAAAGGCCATTGAATCAGAAGGTACACAGGTTTCAAAGAGTTTGATACACATTGACATTTCATTTAACAGAGAATAGTACACATTTATATTTCTGCCATTCATATTTGAGTATCTGTGTACTCCATAAACGCCAAGTTTCAGGCCTTTTAACCATTGTGAGTTGAATCACTGAAATATGGCAACATGTCATTTAATTGAAATTTGCTAGTAAGTACTAATAAGGGTTTCTTTCCTTTTTTAAGAATTATTTTATTTAACTTTATTTATTATTATTATCATTATTATTTTCCAGTTTGATCAGAGAGAGACAGAGAGAGAGAGGAGGTGAGAAAGAAAGCCACCAGGTCTAAGACTTGAA